TTTGCATAAATATTTTTCAAAAGGAAAACATGTCTTATTGGCAAGGCCACCTCTCAGAAGATAAGGAGATGGTCCATTTCTCAGGAAAAAAATACATAACTGGTCTTTTGGTATATAAAGTATATATTATGAAAGAGGCTTCAGTATTCATCTACCATCTAATGCTCTCATATATGACAAAGCAGGACATGGAAGAGGATGGTTCTGCAATTCCAAGTGGCCCATGGCTGGTTTTGTTTGTCCTTCAGGCAAACAAAAGTTAAGATCAAGCTTCCTGGGAAGAGTTTCACTGATCAAGCCATGATATTAAACTGGTGGGTGTAGGTCACTGGGGACTTCTGTCCCCAGCTCTCTTATTGACTAGCTATTATATTTGGGGTTCTTGCCTTTCTTTCTTTCTTCTTTCTAAAATAAAGGGTTTAGACTAGATGATGCCTTGTTAATTCACAGATTTTGTGGTTCTCTTCACTGCCAGGAAAACAATCACCACAAATATGTATCTTTCTTTTACCACATAGTTTTAGGTACCTGGAGACAAATGCACTACACAAATGGAGAGATGTCATCATTTCTCTACTTTACAAACATGTAATAAAAAATGGCTATTTATGTAAACGTATAAATTAAGATGGTGAGATTGAACAGTGGATGTAAACAGAACAGACAAAGAAAAAGGAGACTGGTGGTTACTGCAGAGACAACGAGCCCACACTGCCCTCCTGGGGACATGTGTCCCTCCACCTGAGCAATGACCTGCCTGGGTAACCCAGAGGCTGAGGCTGAAGTGTCTGCTGAAGGTTCTGAAAGAAGCCCTCAGCCCCTCTGGCATAGGCTGGATTCAGTAACATTCATCAAATATCGACCCTGTATTTGTAGGGTCCGTGGAGTATCTTTCTCTCTCCATCACTCCCCTTAACTTATTTGTAGAGTGATGCATCAGAAATTCCAATGAACACGTCACACATTGTTTCCCCTCCACTTGCTGAATAATGCAATGAGTTTAATTTTGCTGGAGTTGGCAGTCTTGACACAAAGATGCAGGGAGTAAAATCTGCGTACACTCCTACTTTGCAACAGGCAAGTTTTGTTGTTTTTAACCTAGGACTTTGATTCCATTCTTCTTCTTCCAGACCATCCTTCTGCCAGCTGCCTGGATCCCTGGTCAGAATCTCGGGCTGCATTAGCATATCTAATAAAGTCCTGTCTGTAAAAGCAGCAGCAGCAAAAAAAAATTGCTCATAAAAGATTCCATGCCGTTGAGGGGCAAGCCATTTAACTGCTCAATGGAAACTTGAAAAAGCTTTGAATGGGCTTCTGAGTGCAGTGAAGTGGAAGCTATTGGGAAAAGGTGGCCGGCTCAAGCCAGCTTTCCTAATAACAGGGAACCCTTGCTATCTGAGGGTCTATCATCATTTATTACTGCCAACCTTTAGAAATAATTTATGGCCATGATTTGCTCCACTTCCTAAGAGTTAAAGGTGAAATGTAATGCAGGAAAATTCACTAATTGTCTATGAGTATTTCCCCCTTTATCAATAGAAGGTAACTCCATGAACTTCCTCAAAACTGTACATAATGGGCCAGCCGAGAGGTGCGTTGGTTAACAGTTGGCTTGGGACGCCAGAGGGCCCCAGTTCGGATCCCACATATGAGGGCCAGTGTCACTGCCCTCTACAGCTAAGATGCTGAACAACAGCTCGACCTGTAGCTGGGCTGTCGTGAGTTGCCCGCGACTGCGTAGGCTGCAGCCCCTGATGCAGTGGGTTGCCATGGGCTACCGTGTGTAGCCAGCAGCCACTGTGAGCGGCTGTCCAGAAGCCGGTGACTGATCTACCTCGCCCGAGAAGAGTGCAATGATGGTGCCAACTTGGGCCAGTGAAGCAACGTCCTCCACAACTAGACCGAAGAACGAAAGGACAGCAACTTGTCTGTTCCCCTTCCCCCAATTCCCCAGCGCTGTTCCCATTCCCCAATTCCCCAATAAAAAAAACTGTACATAATGCCAAATTCTATTGCAACTATACTGACAGCTGGCCAAGTTATACCTAAAGCAAAGATATGAATTTTGGGATAGGATCGTATGTACAAATGAAGCAATTATTGCAATTCTATAGAAAACCCCCAGTTGGATGGAGAAAATGAGGTTCTGTACATTGAGGGCTTGGCCTATGATACAGAGCCACTGTCTATGAAGCAACAACTAGACTAGAAGGACAAGACCCATTGTCAGAAAGAAAGGTGGCTCTCTGGCATGCAATCCCAGCTCTTCTCTGTCCAAACTGGAAACATGCTTCTCAGGGTCACTTCATCCTGTTGTACCCATTTCTCTTAGATTTTTATTATCCATTTCAAAACTTGTTTTACTCTTTTATTACTTTGGATGGTAATCCATTGTTTCATTATGCTTGACAACAGTTACCTCTAGTCCATCTGGGGAAAGACATGATGGTGAGTGACGTAAATGATCCTATTTTTTATTTAACAACCCCCCCTTTTAAAAAAAATAACAGCGTGCCAGGCGTTCTTCCAGGAACTTCACCATTGATAACTTATTTAATCCTTACAAGTCAAGGATAAATCAAGTATAATTAAGTGTAAATAAAAGTGGAACCCAGTACTCTAGGGGAACAAAGTTACAGGACTTTTTTTTTCAGGCTTAACCAAGATGGCCTTCCCAACAGTCCCTTCCTTGGGACGCTGAGTTTAAACACCAATGGAAAGAAAGCAGGCACATTTTCATAGAGACCATGAAGCCTCTCCCCTAATGGGAATCAAAACACTGACTACACTGTTTGTTGGTGTCGACTACAGTAGGACATGTGCATAAGCTATATACGCAACAGAAATGTGTCCATCCGTGTACGAAAATCATGCACAAGCATATTCATAGCAGCACTGGTCTTAGTACCTCCAAACTGTAAACAACCTAAAGCTCTATCAGCAGTAAAATGGATATATCAATTGTGGCATGTCCATACAATGGAATACTCCACAGCAGTGAGAATGAATGAACTGCTGATACATCCAACACCATGGATGAACCTCACAAACACAATGCTGAACGAAGGAAGCCAGACGCAAAAGAGTACATACTCTGTGACTCCATTTATATGGAGACAGATATTGCAACAGTTTTTGCCTATAAAGAGGTGGGCATTGCTTGCAAAGGGGTACAAAAGAACTTTCTGGGAGGATAGAAATATTTTATATTTTGATAGGGGTGTTGTTTACATGTGTATACCCATTTATCAAAACTCATCAAACCGTATACTTAAGATATATGCATTTCACTGCCTGTACATTTTACTTCAACATATAGGAGACAGAAATGTGGCCGCATATGTGTTATGAGACTCCTGAAGCCGTGGGTTTCTGTGTTGCTGCTGTGCTGCTGATGCTGCCAGTGGCAGGCCCACGGCCTGTAGCCTAATCCAGCTGCTGAAGCAAAGCCAAGGCTGTGAGAAACCAAACACTAGAGTCCTCTAACTCAGGTCACTGCCAACCCTCACTTTATTCATTCCCCGCGGAAAATGCTGGCCATGGAAGGTTGATGAGGAGGTACCAGAACTCTTTGGCTCTCAAGTCAAGTTTGAATGCCCTCTGGGAGTTTTTTGCTGTATGATTAAATATGACCATTCCTGGCCCCAGCAGAGGGCAGGCCTGGCGGAAAGAGTATCTGGGCATGGCTCCCACCACAGTTACCTAACGCTGCTCCTCTTCCGATACCATATCAGGGGAGGAAGGGAGACTGTAGGACTTAAGACATTTAGGCATCCGGGACTCTGTGAGGTTGAATATGGCAACCTCCTAGTTATCCTCCAAATCTGTAGTAGCTAAGTTTGGATGGGCACATGGCTGCCCAGCTAGAGACTACATCTCCCAGCTTCCCTTATGGTTAGATGGGGTCATATGACTATACTCTCTATAGTAGAATGTGAGTAGAAGTGGCATGTGCAAATTCCACTTGCTTTAAAGGAAACTGCTTGCCCTGGGCTTCTATTCTTTCTTCCTTTCCATAGGTGGGAACACAAAGTAGCAGTGACCCAGCTTCCACTAGAAGAAGAGGACAATACTCTCGGAAATGAAAGAGCTGCAAAATGGTCAGAAGCTAGATCCCTGAACACCACCTGGAGCAGTGCTAGGCCACTAACCTGGTCCACTCACCTCTAGGCTGCTATGTGAAAGAGAATATCACTCTAAGTCACTGTATCTGGTGACTCTGTTACAGCGTGTTAGCTAATACCCATAGCACATAACCTTCTGAGGCTCATGGTCTCCAGGCCAGAATTGCCAAGTCTTACATACTCTACCTAGCCCGGTAATTTGTATTCCAAAGTTCAGATTATACTAGTACATCAAGACAGCACCCTCTTTTCCTATCATGCAAGTTAATCCTGTTACTTAAACTAGTCCCCCCCAGTCTACAAGATACTATCAACTCATTATTCATGTACACAAGGCTCTTTCAAGACACGATCCCATGCTCCATGCTGAGCCTCACTGCATGCATTTGCTTCGCCTGCATCTTGTGTCTGGTCACGCTGGATGTTCCCTGAAGGCACAGCACACATGAAAAACTTTATGCTCGAGCTTCTGTTCTAGCCAAGTGGAATGGCCTTGTCACCACCCCCATCCTACACTCTTCCCTGCCCATCAGGTAATTATTGCTAAGTCTTCCAAACCTAGCCCAAAAGACCCCAGAAAATGCCCCAGAATGATTTCCTCCCTCTGCTATGCTTCCATAGCAGTTTGGACAAACCTTCATTAAGACATTTATGGCTGTGAGCTCAAGAGATTTAGTGGCATGGCTGACCTCACAGCTAGAATATATGTTCCAAAGACAAAGTCCCTGAAGACCAAGACCATGCCTTGCCCATTTTCATAAGCTTGGCATTGAGCACATGATCTGGCTCATACTCAATGAGCATTAAACGAATGAAGGAAGCAGAATTTAAGAGCTGGCTTGTTTCAAAACTCTACACATACATTATCATTCTTACCTATTCAGTGCAAATGCATAGAGGAATTTAATATTATGTTGGTCGGCCAAATCACACGTAGGCAGCATTTCCAGTGTTTCTACCAGCTTCACCATTGCATCATAGTCCTGTTGGCCAGACGTACCAAGGTAAGAAAGAGAGGAAACACAGATCTTCACAGATTTTTCTGAACAGTTATAAACATGAGACAGCCTAGGCATTTAAATACAAGCCTTGCCATACAGAGAACATTTAGTGACGTTACATACAGCCCAGCAGGCAGGAAAAAGCTACCACGCTTTTAAAATTATTATTTTGTGGTATTTTATTTCACTTAATATAACTGAGGAATGTGAGTTTTATTTTTTAGACACACACACACACACACACACACACACTGGGGTGGCAAAAAATGTATAAAAGTGGACACTTTGGTCATTGTTGCTCAAGCAGTAGTTCGCCATAATCAGAAGTGTCTGGACGCTGATGGGAACCACTTTGAGCACCTCTTGTCATTGCAGAAGTCAAATGTGACTTGTATTCCTTTTTTGTTATCAGTATACATTGAGCATTATAATTTTAATACAATTTTAATACAGTTTTCCTTTCTTAAAATGTGTATATGCTTTTTGGCACCATTTTACTTATATATATACATATATGTATGTATGTGTATATATATATATATGTGTGTGTGTGTGTTTATAAATATATAAAATTAGTCTCAGGTGTACAAAAACAATGTAATTAGATATTTACACCCAAGTGATAACCCCCCCAATCTACTACCCCTGACATCGTATACAGCTCTTACAATACCATTACCTATATTCCCTATGCTGTACTCATTCTGTGACTATATATATATACATATATATATTTATAGTTGACATTCAATATTATTCTACTTCAGCTTCAGGTGTACAGCACAGTGGTCAGGCATCTACACGGTCTATGAAGTGATCCCCCTGACAAGTCCAGTGCCCATCTGGCACCCTACATAATCTATACATGATTGATTATATTCCCCATTACTGCATTTCATATCACTGTAACTATTTTGTGACTACCAATTTGTACTTTCTAATCCCTTCGCCTTTTCCCCACACCATGTTTTGAATGCAGGAGAGTTACCAGCACCAGCACAGCTGTGGGTTAAAATGAGCTGGACATACACATATAAGAAATCTTACAGTCACCTGGCACATAAAGGGAACAACACCCCAGTCCTTTCTATTTTACCAGAAACAAATGAATTAATCTAAACCAGGGTTTCTCGACCTTGGCACTAGTGACATTTTGGGGCTGGATCATTCTTTATTGTGGGCGGCTGTCCTATGCATGGTGGGATGTTAAACAGCATCCCTGGCCTCTACATACTAGATGCTAGTAGAACGTTCCCCTCCCCTCTGAAATGTAACAACCAAAAATGTCTCAGACACTGCCACATGTCCTCCATTTGAGAACCACTGCTCTCAACTGCATAATTACCCAGGGAAAAACTGCTACCATGATTGTCTCCACTGGGTCCCCTCTGAGCAGTGCCATCTGCTACCTTTTCAGTCAGGCTGAGATCACTGTACTGGCCAACTTGCTGACAGCCAGCCAGTTAGCAGAGGAGGGCGTCCCACTGAAATCCCATGTCTGTTTTGTGCCTCTGCACCTGGATGCAGCTGCCCCAGGAAAGGGAAGACAGTGTATTCCAAGAAGCTTCTGGCTTTCTTTTGAGCCTGAGAATCCCAATGGAAGGTTATAAAAAGAAGAGATGTGTGAAGGCAAGGACAGAAGGAAGGCAGACTCAGGAAGAAAGAGTTCAGAAATAGGCCATTCCCATTCTCTTGTCCTATGGGGCATAATTTCATCATTGTCATGATCCCTAACAGCATCTGCTATTAAAATCAATTAGATGCATCTGTTTATCACTAGGGGCGTAAATTCCTTAGTGATTGCCTCTGTTCTTGGTTCGGGTCATAAATGGATTCTTGTTTAGAATCTCCAACATGGCTTTGTGGAATTCTGCAGGTAAGGTACCTTGCCTGTGTTCCTCCAAAGGGAAGGAAGGTAAGACATCCTTAGAAATGGCTCGACAGCATTAAACTTGGAGGGAAGGCATGCTCGATTTCCTTCATAGTACTGCGTCCCACAAATCCCATCTCAAGAACTCTCTGGAAGCCTCTGATGCTGGTCTTAGAATAAATATCTTTACTCCTGGGGTCCTGGATGTGTATCTGCTACTCCTGCTCTCCCTGTCACTGATGGGTGGTGGTAAACAAAGCAGGCAGTGACAAAGGCCTAAAGAAAGCAGCACAGCAAAGGAGTTAAGAACAAGCTGGTTGCCTCAGTTTGAATCCCGACTTTGCCGACTGCTGTGTGACCTTGGGCAAGTCACATAACTTCTCTGTGCCTTATGTTCCTCATTTGTAAACTGGGGATAATCAGAGTATACACCCGATGGGCTTGTGATGAGGATTAAATGAATTAGTATTTGAAAAGGGCTTGGAACAATGCCTAGCACGAAATATATATAAACTGTTAAATTCTGAGTTCCTTTTAGGGAGCAGAACCATATATGAGATTTTGTTGGAATGGCTTTCTGATATGACAAAACTTTCTCCAACATTTCTACCACAACAGATACGTTAGGTGAACTGTGACCTACCCACATACCTATTTTGTCTATAAAACAGCTACCTAACCATACACCTCGTATAAGAGTACTTCGTATGAGGAATTCCTCATGCCAAAGAAGTTCTCAGCATGTGTTAGCCTCAGGTAAGCATATTTCATACCTGGATATCGCGGTAGGACAGCAGTAAATTAATGATGATGTCTGAGGTCAGAACCTCGGTACTATCCATGCGGAGTTTGATCCGAGTCAGCTCCTTTGCCAGTTCATCGCCCTGGTATTTCTCTCTGGCTCTCCGGATGTCATGTAACAAGGTTTCTTTGTAATATGCACTGAAGAGGAAAACATGAAAACCTCTGGTCACATCCCCATGCATCCAGGATCCATTTCCTTTAGCAGCTCAAACAAAGTTAGTTCTCATCGACATGACTTAGCTAATACATGGGGATTTGCCCAGACCTGAGCCTCCCTGCACCAGTAAACAGGCGACATGTCCTACTTGTAAGTCATGTTTTACAAAAACTAGCTACTGCAATAGTAACAACAACAGAAAAAGTCAGTTCATTATGACCTGGAAAATATTTTCCAACTTGACATCATCTGTATTTGGATGACACATAGGACGTTCAGCCCATCCCACCCACCCCACGTCCTCTGCTATTTTCAAACACAGAGAGAGCAAGAAGGTCCCTTACTTAAATAGTTATTTCCCCCACTATTAACAGATTATCACAAAGCCAAACCAAATCCCAAAGGCCATGAAACAGTCAAATGAGAACTTCTTTAAATGAATCTCTCTATCAGGTGTCCTCAGCTAGTAGTCACTAAGCTTTTTCCGGTTGGCTGCGAGCCAGAAACTGGACATGACCGTGAGCAATCCAAGCCCTTCCTGGAAGCTTACAGACCATCTCTGTCTTTCATACCCCTCCGCTTTCCTTGCCATTTTCAATTGCCACAATGCTTTTCCAGTGTAAAACATAAAACTTCCTTCATGTGGGCATCTAGAGGATAATACAGATGTATGAAAACATTTAAAGCAGTTTAAATCCACACTGGCATGTCTCACCATAACCTCTCAAAGAACCAAAGCTAGTACCTGGTACTTGGTTTAAAATATTTAAAACTGACCTACTTTGATGTACAGAGGCTGACTTGCAATGACCATAGATTGATTTAAATTTCTTGCCCACTTTCCAAGTAATTTTTTAATGGAGACTGGGCATTACCAAGCAGTAATGCTGTCAACCCATTAAGTAGCTGAAATGAGTGAACTGTAGAGAGTAAAATTAGGCTGCTCATTAAAAAAAGATAAGCTCAATTAAATAATAGTCTTCAGAAAAAAAGCAACACGTAAGAATAACAACTGTTACTTTTAATAATTATAAAACAATGCCAAGTAAATGTGTATACAACACACATCCTTGTCCAATGCTTATATAATAAGACCTCATAAACATTTAAAGAATGAAGTGATACCCCACAGAAAGCACTCTGATATAAAAATATCAGTGCATTGGTTTAATTTTTTATTTCCTTATTCATATATTGCTAATCACCCCAATGATGAGCAAATTAGCAGATTCTACCAGTTTAAAATTCTATCATTAATATAATGAGTCATTAACTTGGGTGACAGCCATTGTCCATTTGGTGGACTACAAAGGCATCAAAGCTATTAAGGTGTTATTAGTTTAGCTTGACAAGTAAAAAGTTATCTTTAGTTAAGTCTTATTTTCAAGGATAATTCTGAAAAATAGTTTTAATAAACCAAGAAACCTAATAAGAACAGTAATTCGTAAGTAAATGAACAAAACACTGACTTGAGTATGGCTTGGGGATATCATATATGTAATAAACATGCAGCCATTTCTGCCTCTGGGAACCAGGGAAGATGTTGAAAATCAATGTGAACTTGGAAATGGCTTCCAGCCCCTTTTCAGCACAGAGCTGCAGGCAGCCTTTATTAATCTATCAGAGCTGGCACTGGCACTTGAGCTAAAAACTTATCTGCCTTCCTCATTATAGATGTTTTAAACCACAGGCACCGTTTATCTTCTCACTAACCATTGTCAGGTATCTACCAGTTCAAGGGGTGGAAACAACCAACATGTATTTCAAGCTCTTCGAAATTAAACCAAATCAAAACAGTTGTTTTCCTATTGATATACACACACACTGAATGAGAAACAAACTTGAGTACATTTCTTGCAAACATCTTGCTCATCTGGCAGGCTCAAACTAGCCTACCTCCTTGTCAGACATGAAAAGATGATACTGGGAGAGCTTTCTCCTTAAACCTCACTAAAATATTCATTGTGCAATAAGACAATAGTTAGCAACGCGTGACTGAATGGGGCTTTCCAGGACTGTCCCTCAAAAGGTTCCCCATTTGCTTTCTTTTTTGGCATGTGGTCACATATGTCTGGGTTTCCAGTCTTCTTTTCCCATAAAGTCTATAGAAGAAATTCTGTGTCCAGAGAAGAGGTGGTGGGATAGAAAAAGAGAACAGGCTGTTAACCAGTGTGGGCCGCACACCAATGCTACAGTAGTAACACTACAATTCAGGGTGCCATGATTTGAGCCAAAGTGGGATAAGCAAGTCAAGTCAGTTTTGCCGATGCTTCGGATTTTCATTTGTTTTGGAAGGATAAGTCCTCCTCCTTGTGACATAACTTACAGGAGTAAATCCTTTAAATTGGCTGCAAGCAAAATGACTGGATCCTTTGGTTAAGTAGAATACTTTTTCTGCCTTCAAGTTTTAGAATAATAACATTTTAAGGCATAGTTTATTGAGCACTGAGGCACAAAGTGGTGAGCTGACTTTTACAGGGCTATACAGCAAGGAGTCACCTGAGCCAGGATTCAGACCCAAACCTGCCCACCTCTGAATAAGTATTCTACACCTTCTCCGACATCAAACTACAATGAATACATCGCAGGACATCCTGAGGTCAGGATGGTTTCAGCTGGACTCAATGCATCCCAGTTTCTATAGCACAAGAACTTGTGGTCAGAATGACCTTGCTCAGGCATTTTAACAACCTCAGCAACTGATTGGAGTGCAGGGAGGAAATCATCCTCAGAAATGATCTTAAAACACAGACTCTAAGAGTTGAAAGAGTATGAAAAATATGAGTGACTTAACTTCCTTATTTTCTAGATGAGAAAATGGCTACACAGAAGAGAAGTTATTTATCAAGGTCACACAGGGAGTTGGAGCCAAACACAGGCTCAGCCCTGACCTCCTAACTCCAGTTCTCTTCTTTTTTAGCTACACCTAAATGGACCAACTTAGTGAGGTAGTAAGGGACAATAATGGATTCCTGGATGACTTAAACATGATTGGCGAAGGTTCCCCATTCTCTGGGAACTGTAGTCTTTTGAGGGCGTATCGCCTCCATGAACGTAAAGGGAAGATTGGAGCAAAGCTCCTGGGGTTGTTCGTGGCTGAGGGGAATTACCATGAAATCACGTGGATGTCCTTCAGGAGGCTAATAAGCCTGTCCACCAGGGGCACGCACAACGGACCGAGGATGGTGTCCCAGTGGGGCTGCATGTACTCTGAGAAACGCCTCTGGGCATCACTCTCACAGCAAACATAATCAGCGCAGGGTGTCACGATGTACGGGATGAAATAATAATTCCCACTAGATGCCTGGAAAAAGAAACCAAAAAATGTTTCAAAAGCAATTGATGCAGAAACATAGCTGTAGATTTGAACATGGTAGGACACGGAAGGAGCAAATGCCTAAGTATGACAACAACTTGTGCAATATGACTATGAAGCTATTAGGCACAAAACAGGAAACCACTCAATTCCACAAGCTCTAACACATGGATGTATGACAAAAATTTGGTTTCAAATGCTGAAATTGATCTGTATATGTCTCTGAACTTCACTGGAAAAGATTTTAGAAGTTTAAGTATCAAAAAATTATATCATTTCATTATGTGCCCCCAAATCAAAGGAATCTAAACCCACTGATAACCAAGAGTTGCAATGTAAAGGCATATGTTTCTTTCTTTCAGCATCAATGGAAAAGCCATATTATTTGATAATTTAACCACAGGTGAACTATTATATACTTTGTAGAGTAAAAATTGTTTTGCATGAGGCAGGTGTTAATAAGTATGATTAATCTCAGAGATATTTTGAAAAAAGTTCTGTTCAAAAATATTTATATTGTCAAATAATACTCAGGTAAAACAATATCTCTTTTCTATGGAATGCTTACAATTTGACTATAAATTGAGATCTTTGTAAAGCATAAACACTACCTTTAAAGAGTATTAAATCAATGCTTAATTTTTTTAAAAGATTTTTTTATTGGGGAACTGGGGGATGGGAACAGTGCTGGGGAATTGGGGGAAGGGGAACAGACAAGTTGCTGTCGTTTTGATCCTCAGTCTAGTTGTGGAGGACGTTGCTTCACTGGCCCAAGTTGGCACCATCATTGCGTTCTTCCCGGGCGAGGCAGATCAGTCGCCGGCTTCTGGACGGCCACTCACGGCGGCTGCTGGCCGCTCACGCTGGCTGCTGGCTACATATGGTAGCCCATGGCAACCCACTGCCACAGGGGCTGCAGCCTACGCCGTCGCCGGCAACTCAGGCAGCCCAGCTCCAGGTTGAGCTGTTGTTCAGCATCTTAGCTGTGGAGGGCAGTGTCACTGGCCCTCATATGTGGGATCCGAACCGAGGCCCTCTGGCGTCCCAAGCCAGTTCTTAACCATCGTGCCACTTAGCCAGCCCCAATGCTTAATTTTTAACACATTGGAGGATTAATACATGTCTTATATGACATCCTTATATCAGAGTCAATCTTTTGTCTAAACTGTCATAAAAAGAAACTAGCATAACATTTCAGACTTTTTATTCCTATCTCTTAAATTTTAAAGAATTTATATGGTGCCAGAAATAATTCATCTGACTTCTTCCCTTTTAATTTTTTAAACTAAACTAATGAAGTTATCTAGGTATTTTGGCATGCTGCAGACATATCTTGGAGAATACACTTTCTCCAAGAATGAGAAGTCAAAGAAGGTACAGAACTTCTTCTAAATTAAAAATAAATTCATTAATTATGGAGAAAACTATCTTAATGCCATGATCTCATATCAAACAGAAGCCTTGGGAAAACTTACAACATTGGGGAACTAGATACAAATACATATGTGACATACATTTTTAAGTTTTCCTTTTGAATAAGATTTGCTTACATAAAGATGGTGGCATTCTTATTTTTATCTTAACTCAAAATATAGATAATTGTCCTGAAACACACTTTCTCTCTCTCTTTTGTACCTTGTTGGGCATCTATAATCCTGTTGATACATGTTTTGGTGCCTTAAAATACTTTGTTAAAAAAAATCACTAATATGGGCCGGCCGAGTGGCACGATGGTTAAGAACTGGCTTGGGATGCCAGAGGGCCCCGGTTCGGATCCCACATATGAGGGCCAGTGACACTGCCCTCTACAGCTAAGATGCTGAACAACAGCTCAACCTGGAGCTGGGCTGCCGTGAGTCGCCGGCGACGGCGTAGGCTGCAGCCCCTGTGGCAGTGGGTTGCCATGGGCTACCGTGTGTAGCCAGCAGCCAGCGTGAGCGGCCAGCAGCCAGCGTGAGTGGCCAGCAGCCGCAGTGAGCGGCCGTCCAGAAGCCAGCGACTGATCTGCCTCGCCCGGGAAGAGCGCAATGATGGTGCCAACTTGGGCCAGTGAAGCAACGTCCTCCACAACTAGACTGAGGAACAAAACGACAGCAACTTGTCTGTTCCCCATCCCCCCAATTCCCCAATAAAAATCTTTTTTAAAAAATCACTAATAGGCTGAGTGAGTGGAGCGTTGATTGAGTTGGACTGGGAACGTGAGCCCTGAGCAGCAGGGCCCAGGTTCGCATCCCATATAGTGGGCCAGTGATGCTGCACCCTCTACAGCTGAGATGGTGAACAATAGCTCGACCTGGAGCTGGGCTGCCGCAAGTCGCTGGCGATGGCGTAGGCTGCAGTGGGGCTGGCCGGCAGCGGGTGTGAGCTGCCATCCAATGGCTGGTGAGTGACTACCTCAGCCAAGAAGAGCACAATGATAATACCAACATGGGCTACTGAAGCGACATCATCCACAACTAGACTGAAGAACCAAAGGACAACAACTTGTCTGTTCCCCTTCCCCGATTCCCCAGTGCTGTTCCCTTCCCACAATTCCCCAATAAAATCTTTTTTAAAAAATCACTAGTGCTATTCCACTCAAACATATTTTAGAATGGGTTACCAATTTTTTTCTATAAAAGGCCAAATGGTACATATATTTGGTTTTGTAAGTCATACAGTCTCTATTGCAAGTATTCAACTCTGCTGCTGTAGCATGAAAGAAAGCAACCATAGACAACACATAAACACGTGAGCATGGCTCTGTCCCAATAAAACTTCATTTATGAACACAAATCTGAATTTAATATTTTCATATGTCCTGAAGTATTCTTCATCTTCTGATTTTTTCCAATCATTTAAAAACGTAACAACCATTCTTAGCTTACAGGTCATACAAATGCAGGTCTTACACTAAGCTTCCTAATGTTATATTATTCCTAAAAATAGGATTTTCTGAGAATACTTACACTGTTGCAAAATAGTATAATAGTTGGAGGCTGTCCGCCCCTGTGGGCACCAGATATTGGGGTTAAGCCCCTCAAAATACAAATGCCAGTTATCTAGGTATTTCTATAAGTAGAAGTGGCAAAAATTCAGGTGTGTGGGTGATACCTGGGGAACAGGGGCAAGAGGACTTGTAGCTGCTTCTTAGCAATCTCTGGGAACTGCCTACATCAGAGGAACAAAGACACTTCCCTCCCTGGTTATAGCTCCAACTTCTCAAAGACAGATTAAAATTGTCCAGCAAAGTAAGGATTTTGGTAGGTTAGAGGCAAATGTTTCCCTCATCTATAACAAGAAACCCATGTTGCTGAAGTAAATTAAATTAAATTAAATGCCATTTATAAATTCAGAAGTTAAACCGCTTGTTCTTCTACATGAAATTGAGTTTACGGTAAAAAGCCTTCCTGTTTCAGACTAAAAGGGAAAAAAGGGCTGTGTGGATCAGTGAGGTCTAGAAGGTAAAATATCTTTGAAGGAATGGCGTTTGCTATTTTCAAAAAAACCCCCCCAAAAAACAGAGCTAGACGGGAGATGTGAGGAGCTCTTCAGATCCTTAACCCCCCGCCCCCTCCCCAGAAAAAAAACATAACGGGCAAAAGATCTTTTAAAAAAGTATTTAAAGTCATTATAAATGGTCTTAAGAGCACACAGAAAATGGAGAAACATTTACTCAAGAAAATTGACTAAATCTTGGTAAGAACAGTGACACTCTAGCATTTGAGCAATAACCTGCACCCCCTATCCCCCAGCCCAAAGTGACAAAAGTTCTTCACTAGTTAGGTAAAGCCAAGAAGATGGGGCTCCCTCTCACCCCAACCTCCAGTCTAGGGTGACAGTTTCTCTCTGAGAAGGCCAGGCCACCAGCATTCTCATTCACCACAGCCCTGTGTTATAGAAGTACTATTCCACGCAAGTTTGTCATGAGGACCAGGGCTCCATTTCTCCACCCAGTTCCCACTGGTAGGGAAGAAGTTCTACCCTAGGTGAAGCAGACCAAGAATACTGGGCCCTGATCATCTTTGTCCCAGCTCACATAGGGTGAAGGTTCCTTGCCAGAAGAGGCAAGCTGAGAAGATCAGGGGCTGCCACCCATGTCCAGCATCCCACTCACAGAGCAGGGTGTCACTATGAGAGAGGCAGGCTGCTACCTCCACCCACCAGCTCTGGGGCAGTGGTGCAGAGGCTCTACCTCAGGGTAGAGGCATGCTGTAAGAACAGACAGCTCTGTAGGTCTCCATAAAGGGACTGACTTTACGTGGAATACAGCATGGGAACTTCAAACCTATGCACACTGTCAAAAAATGGAGATTTTTGTGGCAAGAATTTAGAGTAGGATGGTAGCTCAAGATAGCAACAGGTGTGAAAGGTAGACCACTAGACGTTAACAGAAAGAAAAAGAGGAAGAGAGAGTTGAAAAGAACCTTCCTGAGGTCAGAATAAACCTTAAAGACTGGCCTTACAGACAACCTCTGCAAAGGAGCCCAGTGTTAATTTTATCAGACTGTGGGACATTTATGTTTCAGGGCATTGTCAAAAACAATAAAGCAATCAGCTAACAATTAAGGGAGATTAACAACTGGCTGTAATATCAAGAGAGGAAGCCCAGTCAGAAACGTTTAGTAGGGAAAGATATATTTAAAGAGAGCCCAGCGATAACCATTGTCATCCTTGGGTGGGGATGGGAGCGTCAGAATAGCTGTGCAAATACCCAAGACTGCACCTCTGAGGAGTGACTTCAGAGGCTACACACTATGGAGGAAATAGACTTCACTGAACTAGTGTAGCAAAGTCATTAAACAGTAAACCAGCAAATAAAACAAACAAGCTCCAGAGGCAGGAGGGAGAGAGATCAGTATCCAGAGTTGCTATAATATATTATTTTAAATGTCCAGTTTTAAATAAAAATATAAAACATGCAAAGAAACAGGACAGTGTGATCCTTATATAGGAAAAAAATAACAGGCAATAGTAACTGCCTTTGAAAGGACTCAGATGTTGAAATT